GAGCCAGTGAGATTAGAACCGCTGAACTGCAGATAACAGCCAGCTGAAGTGGCTGCACTACTGCACTCTAACCACTGCGCCACCTCAGCTCTCTATTTTCCTCACAAGAGCAGCCTTGTGGAGGTGCGTTGGACTGAGATAGAGTGATTGGCCCAAAGTCACCCAGCTGGCTTTCAGGGCTAAAAAGGGATTTGAACTCGGGGGTCTCCGGTTTTGTAGTCTGGTGCCTTATCCACTAGACCAAACTGAGCCTACAGTTTGTCTTCTTAAGACAGTTCAACTATAAAGGTTCACCTTCAGGGTTGTTCCTTGGGTTACTTAATAAATGTAAACATCCAATGTTATTACTATCCAGTTTATGGTCTTTCACGGAGTCCCAGAATGTAGAGTTGAAAGAGAGCACATGGATCATCTATTTCAACCTTCTGCAATGTGTAGGAAAGCCAAGTACGCCATCCTCAAGAGGTAGCTGTCCTACCTCTTCCTTAAAATCCTCAAAGATGATGAACCCACAATCTACTGTCAGGAACTTTCTCCCCCTTTACATTTAAATGAAATCTAGTTTCAACTTAGATGCAATATATCTGGTCCTAGTGCCCATGGAAAATAATTCTTGATCATCTTCCCTACATTTTCTCTTTTATGTGCCTATAATATCTTCCCTCATTTGTCTTTTCTACAGAGGGAACATCCCTAGGTCCTCTAGCCTGCCCTTATAGGGCATGATCCTCAAATCCATGTATCATTTTTGTTCTTCTCTGAATCTTTTCTAACTTATGAATACCTAACTGGAAATACAGATACCCAAAATCAAATACAGCACTCCAGATCAGGTTTCACTAATGCCAGGAAAAAAGAAATAATGACTTCATTGCATTATTGATACACTCTCTTATGCAGCCCAGAATTGGATTTGTCTTTCTAGCAGTTATTGAAAGACAAATCAGATTTGTCTTTCTAACAGTTAATCTTACACTACTGAGTATTGTTCAGATTACGGGTGATAACCATAGCTCAAAGTCGTCTTCAGATAAAGTGTTTCCAACCCATAAATCCCCCATTTTGTATATTTGTCCTTCATATCCATTGCTATTCCAAAGCGATCAGCTCTTTCAAGGTTATCTCCTCCTTCCTAACTTACCTAGCCATTCAACCCCTCATGATTTTTGAAAACTTACCCTGAACACCAAGGCTTCTCAATTTGTTTAAGATAAGTGACATCATCTTTAATTTTCAAAGCACTTTCTCAAAATAAATGCCATAGTCTGCTTCAGAATATCTACCGTATTTTTCGGAGCATAAGACGCACCGGAGTATAAGATGCGCCAAGGTTTTGAAGAGGCAATTTTTTTAAAAAAGTAGGTAGGTAGATAGAGGGAGCGAGAGGGAGAGTAGTTACGTAGGTAGGTAGATAAAGGGAGGGAGGGAGGGAGAGAGAGTATAGATAGGTAGGTAGATGGATAGAGAGAGAGAAATAGAAAGAGATAGAGAGAAAAATACAGTAGATAGGTAAGGAGAGAGAGAGTGGAGGTAGGTAGGTAGGTAGGTAGAGGGATAGAGAGAGAAATAGAGAGAAATACAGTAGATAGGTAGGGAGAGAGAGAGTAGTTAGGTAGGTAGGTAGGTAGGTAGGTAGGTAGGTAGAGGGATAGAGAGAGAAATAGAGAAAAATACAGTAGATAGGTAAGGAGAGAGAGAGTGGAGGTAGGTAGGTAGGTAGGTAGAGGGATAGAGAGAGAAATAGAGAGAAATACAGTAGATAGGTAGGGAGAGAGAGAGTAGTTAGGTAGGTAGGTAGGTAGGTAGGTAGGTAGGTAGGTAAATAAAGGGATAGAGAGAGAGAGAAAGAGAGAGAAAGAGAAATACAGTAGATAAGTAGGGAGAGAGTGTGTAGTTAGGTAGGTAGGTAGAGGGATAGAGAGAGAAATAGAGAGAAATACAGTAGATAGGTAGGGAGAGAGAGAGTAGTTAGGTAGGTAGGTAGGTAGGTAGGTAGGTAGGTAGGTAGGT